TTTTAGAAGATATATCAGATGATAGAGAAACTGAACTTAAAACAATAACTTCTTATGCACAAATTCGGGCAATTTTTCTCCACACAAAAGATCAGTTACAAATTCCTTTTTTATTGTTAAACTGGTTTATTTCACTGGGTATTAATGATTCAAAATTAGGTTGTCCCCGATATAGATTTCAGCAATTATCAGATCAAACTTGGCGTCGAATTTATGCAATTAAATGGATAGATCACCAACCTAATAACCATTTTATACATCAGTGTCGAAAAACAGGTTGTGAAAATGGAAATCATGATAAAACCAATGTATATTATTTGCATAATATCTTTTATTATACTGCTATATAATATATTTAAATATTTGATCAGCAATTAAATTTAAGTTGCATTATAATTTTTAAACTTTCTTTTATTTTATTACAATTATTTGTCATTTTAAATAAAAAAGTTTTATTATTTTTAATTTCATTATAAATTTAATATAATAACTTGATTCAGACTGCCAAAATTCAAAGACAAAAAGTTTTGGCATTTACTATACTCTAGTTTAAATTTGTTCTTTAGGTATGTCTTTTGAGAAAATTATTAACGATAGTTGTCATGTGTATATTTACTTATATAGATTTGGGAATTAGCAGTTCAGTTTCTTTCAATAATTTTAACAAAAAAGTTTTTATTTGAAAAACTGCAAGATATATTAAGTGCAAAGAATAGACAACCAATTCTGCTGCGTATATAATAATTTTAGATATANTTTTTATTTGAAAAACTGCAAGATATATTAAGTGCATCAACACTAAAAAATTTGTAAAAGTTTGTTTGCGAAATGGATTACAAGGTAAAGCTAGAAAAGAAATATTTTTTTTTTTTATTTATTTTGTTAAGACCGTTTACTAATGTTCTTTTCATTATATTTTATTTTTTAGAAAATGGCTTTTCAGAACTAATGGACGCAAGGTAAAACTGAAAAAAAATTTTTTTATTTATTTCATTAAAAATGTTTATTTACGTTCTTTACATTTTTATTTTTTTAGAAAATGGATCCTTGGATCTTTTAAGATAAAATGGACGTAAGGTAAAGCCAGAAAAAAATTTTTATTATTTATTTCGTTAAAAAATGTTTACTAACATTCTTTATATTTTTTAGTTTTATTTTGTTGTTTTATTTTGTTAAGAACGTTGACTAACGTTCTTTTTTAAATTTTTTTTAGAAAATGGCTCGCTTCCTAAGCAATGGCACCTTCAGAATTTGTATTTAGCAAAAATTTTTAAAAATTTTATTAGATGGTTTGATGCCAGAACGGGATTGAAAGCACGATAAGAATGAGATAAATGGCAATTGGTCAGGGATCTAACTAACGAAAAGATGGAGTGTATTGGAGTCTTCTATAAAGGGTTTGTTCTCTAATCATTATTTCTTGGCCCTTTGTTTAATTTTATCTGTATGGCCTTGTTGTTCTTCTGCTTGTTCTAGCTTATAACGTATTTAGGTAAAGACCTTAATAAAGAATTTCCAAATAATCCATTTTCTAAGAAGAAATTCCAGTACTTCTACCTTGGCCGGAGGGGTTGAAGCAGAATCTCTTGGAATTAAAGAGAACAAGTGAATATGAATTTTTGAAAAAAACCCAGACAGAATATACTGCAGCTTTCATTAAATTCATCAGGATCACGCAAAATTGAAAAGTGATCGGATACTTTAGTGATTCAAAAACAATGGAAAATACGGTGTAGGCTTTCATGAAGAAAAATGATTTGGAGAAAGTATGGATGGTAAGGAATTTCAAGACAGTATATAGAGATGGAAAACGTAATAAGGATAAGAAGAGAATAGAGGACAAGAGAGCTGCAAACTCTTTGCACAGTAAGGTAAATGATATTCTTATGCCACAAACGCCTCCAGAAAGGATTTACATGGGACTATCAAATATGGTGACAAGGAATAAACAAAATTTATTACCCACAGAAATGATTATTGCAGAAATGAATCAAGGTCTAGGTGATTACAAGAAAAGGAGAACGTAGATAGTGACAGTGATGGAGACGATGATGATGGTATAGGAATAGGTAATTTGGAAGAGTTAGCTAGCAAACCTTTAAAATGAGATAATGTAGCGCTGAACAAAGTTGTTGAGATTATAAAAAATTATTAAACAAACGAAAAGATAAAGTATATTTCATATCAAGCATCGTCAACAAATGCGCCTGCCAATGTTAAGGAAATAAAGGTTAAATGGAAGAAATAAAAGGGATTTTTGATCAGAACTCCAACATGATGGAATGAAAAAAATTAACGTGGAAGTGGTGAGTGTAATATGAGCGGAGTATGATATAGTCAGGTTCTTAAAAGATTGGGTGCTTAAAGAAAATAATTTCTTTTTTTTGAGCCAAAAGTCATCAGTATGGCAAAACAAAATAAAATATTCCAGAAATATAACCACCCTTAACGATGATTTCAAAAAAAGGTTGAAAGAAGAAAATTGGAGGACCGATAAAGTAGAAGTAGGAGAAAAACAAGTATTGGTAAAGTCACCATCAAGAAGTGAATCTGAAAAAGCGAAGATGAAGGTGAAGAAAAGAAGAAAAGAAGAAAATAGAAGATAGATAGGGATAGGAATGAAGATTAATCAAAGTCACGTAATTTTACGTAAAAAAAATTTTTTTTTTTTCTGATAACAAAGTTTTGAAAAGATGCTAGTATAAAATTAAATTTTGAAGAAAGGTTCAACCGCCAGGAACTTCTCTTAAATTGCAGAAACTTTTCGGACACTTTGGAACTGATGGAAGGTACTTAAAGTTACTTTTTTTAAATTAGGAACATTAGTAAACATTACTAATATTCCATTTATTTTTTCTTATTGTAGGAATTTTCAAGATGCTTCAGAACTAATGAAATGCCTTGAAAGGTAATTAAAAAAGGATCAGGGTCTTTTTTAAAATTAGGAACAGTAGTAAATATTACTAATGCTCCATTTTTTTATAGAAACCAACCTTTGACTTTTTCGGTTAAACAGATCAGAATCTGCATATCATGTGATTTAAAGCACAAAATACTAAAATTAAGCGCCAACTTTTCATTTTATTTAACAATTCTAGGAATATTTAATGATAAGAGAAGAAATTGAGTGTTGAAGATGAAAAATGAAGACTTGTGAGTTATTTGGACGCTAATCTTGGGATTACCATAAGAACAATGGATATGATCTTCAATGTAACAAGAAATTGAAATACTGGCGTTAGCTGATCCCATGAAAGGTTGGAATCTTCAAGATTATTGAATGGATCGTATTCTCTTACGTCACACAGCCCATGATTGTTGATAAATTTCATTGGCTACAGGAAAGACAAATAAGATGAACGTGACGATACTAATTTTATGATTGAAGTGGTCAACTTGACTGATCGTGAATAGAGAATAAGTTATATATATATTTAGGATTAATTGTTGTTACATATATATTATATAAAAAAGCAATTACAAATGTTTAATAAATAAGCTACAAATATATTAATAACTAATTATAAAGTAATTATATACTGAATTAAAATACATTTTAAATATATTTTTATAAAGCATTCATAATATCTTTGATGTATTTGTAAATGATTATAAATATATTATAAAATAGTTACAACATATATTTAACATCAATTATAAATTAATTGCATATTTAATTGAATACAATTACAAAACAATTTTAAAAGTATTATAAAATGATTTGATATGAAATTACAATTATAGATAACATCATTTGTGATAGTTTCAAAATTATAATGTAATAAATATAAAATAAATATCAAAATTATAGCAAAATGATTTCAAATACATATCAAAAAAACTATAATTTTTAGTAAAGAATGTACCCGTCACTCACATACGAAAGAAAAGAATAAAAGAAAGGAAAAATGTACCCACCTACCCACATACAAAAAAGAAAAAAGCCATTTTTTAAATAAATAGTGGAGCTGTTAAGCAAGGTATGAAAATAGGATATACGCATATTTTTCATATTTTTTTTACAATATGTTGTGATTTGAGTATTTTTTTGTTAGACTGTGGTATAAATGTGAATATATTTTTCAACAGCCATGTATCTATTGCTTGTTAAATATATTTGCAATTTCTTTTGTAATATTTGCTTTAGCCTGGAAGAAAATGTTGTAAAATAGGGCTGAATATTTATGGCATTTTCCGCCTTCCAATTACTTTGTCCAGGGGTAGCCTGACAATTTGTCGTTATCTGTCAGTCGTAGCAACCAGCATTTTTTTACAATATTATGATTTTAAGAAACAAAACACTTTCAAAAAAATTTAAAGAAAGAACTAACTTAAAAATATTATCATTTTTATTATTCTTTACAAAATCCCAGAATTACCTGCTCTAACTATTATCCCAAGGTTATGTATTAAATTTTAAATATATTTTACAAAGAGTACATTTTATTAATCATGATTGTTTTTTTTATTTTTTATATATATATATATATATATTTTAAAATTGAAAATGACGTATCCATCCACTCACATACGAGAAGAAAAGAATAAAAAAGAGAAGAAAAGAATAAAAAAAAAAAGAAAAGAATAAAAAAGAGAAGAAAAGAATAAAAAAAAAAAGAAAAGAATAAAAAAGAGAAGAAAAGAATAAAAAAAAAAGGAAGAAAAGAAACGTACTCCACTCACCCATAATAATCCACTAATAAAAAATTATTATTATTAATGTATAATAAATAATAAACATATATTACAATAAAAATATTTTTGTGATGTTAATTCAGTATTAATATAATATCATTACGATGTAGTTACGATATTAAATAAATGTAAAACATTTTTTGTAATATTAATTTGATATTAATATGATATTATTATGATGTAGTTACGATATCAAATAAAATTGTAATATTAATTCAATGTTAATACGACATCACTACGATGTGGCTATGATATCAAATAGATGTAAAATATTTTTAATATTTTTGCAATATTAATTCAATGTTAATATGATATCACTACGATATGGCTACAATGTGGTTACGATATCAAATAAAATGTCAAATATTTTGCAATATTAATTTGATGTTAATATGATATCACTACGATGTGGTTACGATATCAAATAAAATGTCAAATATTTTGTAATATTAATTCAATGTTAATATGACATCACTACGATGTGGTTACGTGATAATATTTACATCGCATAATGATCGCAGTGATATCGCAGAGATATCGAACTAATCTATGTCGATTAAATACAGTTACGACTAACTTAATGACGTCGAATCTATTTTTTATCAAAATATCATAATGATATCGTAATAATATCATTGCAATATCTAATCAATATCGATTGTAAACTCCAAGTTTCAGCAAAGTAAATTATAAATCGTTCGAAATAATCGGGGTCTGCGTCGTCCGGTAGTTGTGCTTCATCATAATGGTCTAACAGTGAAAAGAGACTTACCGGTTCATTTTCTGATGTCCATCCACTGGGTTTCCAGTTTTCATAGGGAAGCAGGATCTGGAATTTATGTGTCGAATACCGGGATTGGAGTCGCTGTCCAAGTCTTACTATTGATCCTCTAGAAAATCTTGCGCCTGAATACTGTAATTCTTTGATATCCAGTCTTATAGGTAAAGCACGGACAATCTCTGAATAAACCATTTAATGTATTTATGAATTGTGTTCAGTTGTAATATAGGTTTTTTATACAAAAAATATAAGATAACTAAGAAGTGCTTATCTTATTAAAAGGAGTCAATCTTGCTGCATACACGATCAAGATTCTCTTCATCCCAGTCATCGATGATTCCATTGGCGGCTTCCCACTGGCGTTCCATATCAGTTTTTAGACGTTCTTTGGGATCTCTCGCGCTTTACCTTTATCTGCCCTCATAGTTTCATAACCAAAGGGGGTGGGGATAATCTTGGCATTACGATTATCTTATTAAATCCGCGAATTCTTTACGGCTAGGTGTTTTAGATAAGTATCCATTATATTCAATCCAATCCTTAAAGCAGTCTACTACTTCCCTAAGGTAGTACTGGTACTTGTCCTCAATACGCGTTGTAGGACATTCCTCTACTTCAAACGCAAGTATTTTCCAGTCGTATTCATCTGACGCGTCTTGGTACTTGGCCCATAATTCCTTACCTGTATTTTAGAGATCATCGAAGGCCTGGTCCTTTGAATTTTTAACCCACGGCTTGCGATCCCATCGGTGCCTTTTTTGCCAAGTCCAGTGTGCTCGAGTACCTTCCTTTAGTTCAGGATCCCGGTCGACTTCTGGTTCTGTGTCAGGTTCTGGAATAAGTTGCTCTTTGGGAGCCAGTACTACTACAGGTTCTGTAGAAAATTTAGAATCTGCAAGGGATTCGGATTTTGTGGAAGATTCTGCGGGTTGTTGCTCAAGAACTGGGTCCACGGTTGTAGAATCTAAGTCTGATAACAAGTCATCTAAGACGTCATAGTTATCTGGCTCGGGGGCAGACGGTTTTTCTTCCCTTAACTCTTGTGGACGTTCTTTTAAGTGATCAGGCTTGGGTGAAAGCGGTGGAGGCATCTTGCGAATTACAGGTGCGGGTTTTTCCTTGACAGGTACGGGTTTTTTCTTAGCGAGTTTTTTCTCAGCAGGTTTTTCTTGTACATCTTGTGAATTGTTAGCTGGATTATATATATTTGCCAAGAACTTATCCAAGGCATTGGGGTCTAATGCGGGCTTCTCGGGAGTATCTACATCTATTCCTTCTATGTCTATCTCGTCTGTTTTGTGGATCCAGTTTTTGCTGAGGAATTTCTTGTAGAGGTCCTCCCTGGATATGCTGTAAACTTGAGTGTGCTTCTTATCAATATACATTTGATCACTATTTATATTTAACTCATTTGATAGGATTCTAGAAGCATTTATCTTTGATAGGGGTGAAATGCAATGAGTTTCGCAATATGAAGTATATACCCTATAAAATTCTTGAACAGGTAGGTCGGTCATATAATTTTTCATTATGAGGTATGTGTCCTTTATAAATTGGAATAGCGGTGGAAGAGTTGAGATGATATGTTCCTGTTTGGATGTTGTCATGGGTGGCAGATTCCCATTGAAGTCTAGGTAAGTGTCTGCGATGGCTCTCAAGTAAGCATAGAATGCCTCACTGGCGCCTGGGTATTTCATAGCGTCACTGAGTTTTTTGAAGTAGTTGAGGTCTCCCTTGCGGGATGGTGACACATCTAAGAACACTGTGTGCCTATCGTCATTCTCCACTCTGAGAGCATTTTCGTTGGTTAGGACGATGGTGAACATAAAGTTCTTGTAATGTGTTGGCGTCTTGTATTTTTCATGGATTTCCATTATGTTACTCGTTACTTTATCCTTCAAAAAGCGATACAGATTATTCCACTGGCTTTTTTCTGTGGGCATTTCCTCGAGAAGAAGAAGGACCTTACCCTGTAATTGCCCATTAAAACTTCCAAGAATCGTCTGAGGATCGCTGGTCTTATAAACAAGTTGAGTGCCTAGGACGCTGCGCTAAATGAAATCTATTATAATACCTTTGCCCCAACCCTGTCCAGATTTTAGGTAGAGAATCGAGTACATCTTCCTTCCAGCAGATACACCGGCCAACCACTTGATGATATACTCAGTGAGATTCCAATCACCCGAACACCAGATATCCTGAATGTGAGAGAAGATAAATTTAACCGCGAGGTGAATTGTAGACTCAAAGGTGGATATCAGATGCAAGACGTGAAGGAATCCCAGGAAGATATTTAGATAGAGTTGGCCAGTTAAGGATCTGAAGATTCGCTGTTTATGGGGATCACAGGTTGCATTACATACATCAGTATTCTCGACCATAAACCACTTGTAGATGTTGAACTCGGTCTTTTAAGAGGGTCCTTGTTCAGGTTGTGTGTAGAATGCCTTCGTGATTGGACGGATAAGTTTACCAATATTTTTGTCAATAATGTGTTTCAAACTTTTACTATCCAGGTCCCACCAGAAAACTCCATGAGGATCTGCATAGGGAATGAAATAACTGCAAAGATACCTCTTGGCTTGATCGAGGTCACTCATACTCTTAGCAGCAACAATAAGCCATTTAAGCTCATCAATACTGAAGGCTTTCGTTTGTTCACCGAATTTGGGGATAACTTGAGCTTGAGTGGTCATTTTTTCATTCTGTTGAATCGGGATCTAATTTATAGTTACCTAAACTTCAATTGCCGAATATATTTTTCCAAAGATCCGTGCTCCTTCGGTCCTACCTAATTATCTTCTAGGGGTGGGACGGGATTAGTCATCAGAATCATACTTGCGTGTCAGAGTAATATGTTTACCTGAGTATATTAGAAGTATTGTCAGGCTGGATGTGGAAGGTGCAAGCACCACCCACCTCCGGGTCTACGACCCGTCGCAGTACCTATATGGCCCCTACGGGGCTCAGGAATCCCCATATATCCGCCACAATCTGGGACAACATCTGGAACAAATATATATACCAAATAACTAGAAAACAATAGAAAAGGAAGCAATAACGGATATAATGAGAGGGTTGTCCCAGATGTGGCAGATGTGGCAGATGTTTCAGAAAAATTATGAGAGGACATCCCCCCAGAAAAAGTTTTATTTTTACCCCCNTTATGAGAGGACATCCCCCCAGAAAAAGTTTTATTTTTACCCCCCAGATCCGCCACATCCGGAACATCTGGAACAAGTCAGGATTCCGTCTAATAACCTGTTAGGAGCAGTGAGATAGCAAACCAGGTAAGTTAGCAGGTAAGCCCCTAGAAGGACTATAGAGCCAGTAAGACCAACCCCATCCCACCCCCATCAGAAAAAATAAGTAATTGAACAATGGGTATACCATAAGTAATCTATAAGGACAGATAACATGTATACCCCGCACGTAGTATCAGTAATCCCCGAACTTGTAGGCCATATCCTGGAATGCATTCCAAGTAGCAATTTCGGGCCACATCTTCTAGAAGTCAGCCCAATCTGGAGAGCCGAAGCTGAACGAGTACTCTGGAAGCGGCAT